CTTCCAAATTACACCATATCTTCTATAGATACTGCAGATTTTTGATTAAATAATTCGATCAACCTATTTCTACTCAAACTGACCCTAATAGCAAGAGGGAGATCGAAGACCAAGCGTTGCAGTCACAGCGAAAAACATGATAATCTAATTTATCGGGCTCAATTTCGATAGTCTACCAAAGTAGGAATCCATTTTAGGAAGTTAACACGAATTTAATTATAGACGTTGTTTTTGGAAACCTCCGTACTTTAGAATATACTACTTTTGGAGGGAGAACAACTCTCAGTAACTCCCAGAGGGAGAATGAATTTAACCACAGAACGTGGTTATTCACAAGTTCCAGGGCCCTAAATTCCTTCGTGATTGGGAACTGACACACAGTTCAAAATGGTTGACAGATTTAATTAACAAGACTATTTAAAAAGATTCTAACCTACCCATATTTGTAGAATCTCTAATTGTAATGACCATCATTTTCATCCGAATTAAATAAATTTGTCACCAGACGCATAAAAACACCCAGGCTGTATTAATAGGACTAGATGATCCAATTATTGGCACTAGTGTTTTCAGTGGTGAATGGAGGAGTCGGTCCCTAATAAGGGCATTGGGTGTTGAAATGACGTCGCTCATGAAAACAACGTGGCGACGCCAAAGCTGTAAACATAAAGGAAAGAACGAGAGCACTGGCCGTATGGAGCGATGAAACCAGTATGGAAAGGAATTAAAGGGGTAGTATGGAAGACTAAAAGACCTCAATGTCAGTTAGGGATCACTGAGAATCAATACAATTAAAGCAGTTATTACCAGAAAATTTTAAAGGGTTTATTAGGTGACTTTTTGCTACTAGTTGTGGGGCACTCAGTGGAGTGAATAAATAAATAAATGAAATAAATAAAAACCAAACAAATCAGTGCCTTCGCATACCAAAAAAGGGGTCGAGAGGGGGTCAAAATAGGAGTGGAAGGCAGAATAAAGGTAAGGATAATTGGTATAAAAAGCGGTTTTTTCATTCTATGATCACGCCAATGGGTTGGATGATCCCAAAACGAAGTTCTGGGATGATTACGACTAGGAAAGAGGAAGGAAACGAGCAAAAAGTTATGGGAGAACTGAAAAACCAGGGGCAAAATAAATTGTCAAATGAAATGCATGAGGGTAGAATCGGCATTCACTAGAGAAGCACATAAACACTGTCATACGTTATAAAGAGAGAGGAATAAGCCAATCTCGATCAAAACAGATCATGATTCCTTCTTTGGAAGTACTGGAGACGCCCCATGCAATCACAATGCCACCAAGAAACGAGTGGTTGTTTATATGATCTGTTCGATTTGTTTATTGATCACTGGTCTGTTAAACGGACCTTAGAAGTATTGGGAAGGTCAGGTCACTTACTTTCACTGCACTTACTACTTGCTCACTACTTGTGCAACTATTGGAAAAACGGGAAACGGTACCGAAGGTAGGCTGTGCACCATACAGATCCAGACTAGGGCACGCGAACCAAATGCCATCTCGAATTCGTGAAGTTTACAAAATTTTATGTAAATCAAAAGAGAGACTTGTAAAAAAGCGATAGCAGGCCCATAGTCATTTAAAGTCAGATGGCATTGAGACACATCCAGGCTCCTAAAAAGAGCAGAAGGCAGGTTCACCCGAATACGGCTGAACACCTCCTTACACGGGTCATTTACATACTGAACTCGAGGCATTTTCCTACTTTCATCCTCCCAAGTCATCTCCACATCCTTGTCATTTAGTGAAGACGTGTCAATCGCCATACCGGATGTGTACCATGAGCGGTTATGACCGCTCAACGATCGACAGGCAATAAAAGACTTTAATAAATCGAATGTTCAATAAAGACGGCGGTTTTCGGCAAAGAAAAACGTTCCCAGATAATCTTAAAAGGTGGAATGAACTTACGAACGAAAGCCGGTTCTAGAGCAGAAAGACGTCCGCAATAAATCATTTTGGCTGCAAGTCATTCATCAAGGATGAACGGGATGTTCGTTCTCAATCGACCCGCAAATCTGGAAGAAGACCGAATGGGGACCGAAAGATCGCAACGAAGAGAAGATGGCACTTAATGGCCAAATTTAGATACTTTAGAGGTATGACTAGTCCCGGAGTGAAAACAGTAGATAGTTAGTAACTCAGGGAACATCCTTCCAGAATGCATCTGTGGTTTAGAGATTAGAGAGAAGGAGATTATTGGCAATGCTGAGTGGGAATAAACCAAAGTAAGCCGGGTGTATCGGAAGCCCATCACATTTCATTCGATCGCAACATATACCACTAAAGTGAAAAAGTGCAGAGTGATTCGAACAGTTTTAAATCTAAAAGACAAAGTGTTCTGACGATAATTGTCCCCGTTTCGTTCCGGAATGTGCCTCGCATTCGACTTCCCTACAGAATCGTAAAGGCATTTTGTACGTGAGTGTTACCACATTCAATGAATTGCAGTGGCAAGACATCACGAAAGCCAGTGCTCTTATTCTCACAAATGAGATTGTTACTAGTTAAAAGACCCCGGAGGACTTGGTCGGCCTGAGCAACTATCGATCTGGGAATCGATCTCTCGAGCATGAGGGTGATTGTGTGTCCCATTTACCACTACATCACCTCCATCTGAACAAAATTGACAACAAAATCAAAGCGCATCCTGTAGGAGTGGTCAACATTGGCATCTTTCCTTCTCCTTTTCAATATTTCCTTTGTTTCCCAGTGGAAAAGTTTCAGTGCCGGGTCGCATCCATAACTTCCCTAACGGTAAGGACTCATTGGAATACTTCAGACTGGAGTTATTGCCGAGAGCAATCTATGTAGCTCAAAAACTTCTTATTGCGAAGGTGAAGCCTTTAGTAGTTTTTTTTTTGACAAAAAAATTTTGAAAGTGATTTTTTAATCACGTAACTTTGATCCAATATTGACGACATTCTCATGCTCGTGATTCCTATTCCCGTTCAGTTGTTGAGATGATGACTGTCATTGAGCGGTCACGATCCTTATCATCTGTTCAGGTGACAACTGGGAAACAACGTCCTTACTCAGTCAACATCTTCAACAAAGAAGTATAGACCATAAAGAAACTTTGACCTGAACTGATGGTTACATTGTCCAAAACAGAAAGGAGAGCCGACGCAACTAGGTCGAGAAAAACGATTCTTGATGGGAAAGCTGGTTCAGCTCCAAAGCTACAAATGAAACTCCCTCTAAAAAATAAGTGGCCAGTAAGTTCGCCCCAGGGGCCTGTTGTAGGTGAAGCAATAATTAACTGTCTTCTCAGAGTCTTTCTCGGGCTTCTTTGAGAACAAAACAATTGGGGCTCATTTTTGATTCGAATATTGAGGTAGCACAACTATTAGAAGAAAAAGTTGTTTTTTTGACCGTAATCTATAGTGTTTACTTATTTGTTTGTCTCAGTTTTCTGGCTGGGCAAAAGTCAATACTAGTTTATAGGTTGAATATCTTAAGCAACAGCCTGTATCTTCCTTCTTCTTAGAGAAATTGGGGATCGCAATAGCAGAAACACCTTAATTGACTGAATAAGGCCTTTTTCAGTTCTTTCAGGTTTCTTCTTCGCAAGCCCTCACCGTATCACCTTTTTTCGAAAGTCCTCATTCTGAGGTTTGGCTTCGAATAACTTTGTTATAGGATAGGTCAAAAATCATACATACATTAAAAAATTTTGCAGCATTAACGTATTCGACCTTGTCTTGAGTAAAATATCCAGCGTTCAGTTCAAAGTTTCCATCCTATCGGGAAGATCTGATTTCAACAAAACGCACCCGAAGAGATATCTTATAAGATTAGGCGGCCAGATTTAAGAGTTCAATCCATTGGACATATCAGGGGTAACGGCTCCATTTAGCTCTATTACATCTCTTTCAAAGAGCAAAATCTTTAGAAGAGAGTTGTGTTCTGATGGCTTTAACTTCTCAAGAGATTCCCTTCATGGTTCACTATATCACTGATGCACAGAGTATGCAAAATGCGGGTTGTTGACTATAACACTCACGCCACCTAGCTTCGTGGCGAGATGGCCGAGCGGTCTAAGGCGCTGGTTTTAGGCACCAGTCTCTTCGGAGGCGTGGGTTCGAATCCCACTCTCGTCAACCGTTTTGTTTCTGGTAGTTTGTTAACAACTATTGTCGTTAGAACTGTTCGGAGATTCTACTGGATGTACATCCCCGAAAAATTATAATAAAGAGCTACTGAAGCACGTAGCCATAACAGCTGCGCCCGGGAAAATTCACTTTTCGATTTTCAAAGTTCGCCTCATAATTGAGCAGTAGACGTCTAAGCACATTTGATATTTGACTTTATGGATAATTATCACTCAATTCCATTGATGTAAAAAACTCTAATTTTACTCAATAGCCATGAAAATTGAGAAATGTGCGATAGCTGCCGCCAAATTGCTTGAAAACACTAGTTCAATTTTTCAAAAGAAAACTGTTAAGACAAAATGCCCACTACCTGGTCACAACAGAAAAACTACTTTCCCAGTCCCATGATTCTGTTATGCAATTCGAGATAAAGAAGGAAATAGAGACTTTTAACAAAAAATTTCGTTCGATCATTGCATTGCACATTGCATTCTTTGTCCATCCAGTATGTTTTGGCATTCAAATGTTACTCGGTGTATACAGTCGCTGTAGAAGTAGGGACCTATGTGCTCATCAATGCTTTTATCTTCTTAGACGAAACAGATACCAATCAAGCATATCGTAAGCCTGGAATAACGTGGACGAGTCTTGAGCCTGGATTGCACCCTGGACCATGCCTCCTGTTGCAGCCCTACCGTTTATTTCATCGCTATACCACAGAGAATGAAAACTGCTCAATCTTTGTTGCATTAGCCAGGGTCATGCAGACACGGTCATGACCCTTATGACCACTTGAAGCCTTCGCTGACATTGAGTAGTCACGATTCTTATCACCTGGTCAGATGACTGGAAAACAAGGTATTATGTCGTCGAAACCTTGCAAACATGCCAACATCAGCAAAGCGAAAACAGTGTTGGAAATGGGAAAGCTGTGATACCAAATATCATGATCGAATCCAAAGATCAAGGTGAGATGAAACAAAGATCCTCTTTTGCAGAAATGATTGAGTGCTGTTGTTGGAAAGGTGTGGGTGGGGTGGCAAAACGAGTACACCACCAAGTATGATTCACAAAACAAATCCTCTCCCAAGTCACGTTCAGATCAGCCAACCCCAACTTCACTCCAAATTCAGACGCCAGGTTCTAGAATTACATAGGAGGATTAAAGAGCCCCTATACAGCCGAAGATGAGGGAGCAACTAGTACATAGGGTGGTACGGACAAAGCCACAGAACCTTCCGATATACAGTCGGATCCGAGGCCTACGAGAAGCGACCATGAAGAGTTCGAAGAAGAGGTCGTGGAAAACGATTAAGAAAAAGGGCCTTGCAAGAACTGAGGTCACGGCAGAAGATGCTGTATGAGGAAGGAAAAGAAGGCTATCGAGAAGAGCGAGCCTTGCGGAAGCTCAGGATTGACGCTGCGGAAAAGAAGAAGATGATGATTATAAAAGCCACTGACTTATGGATCCGCCAGTCACCTGAATTCAGAAGGTTCTTATTCAGCTGCTTCCACGATTCCAAAGAGAGTTAACTCTGTAAGCGCATCCAAAAATCGAAAATCGACTCTCTGCCGATATCTCAGTCCTTTCGTCGAGAAAGTCTGTCTGATTCAAGGCTGAAAACCTGGTTTCTAAAGATGACGTTTACGTCGAAACCTTAGGCGGTTGATTTATTAAGTATTATAGTTCCAACTGGAAACTTTTCACAACAGAAGAAAATTGGAAAAGAAATAGAAGGAAATCGGAAAAAAGGCAACATAGCCTTCCAGTAACAGGAATCTTCCAAACACTTTTCTGAGGATAGTGAATGGAGTCAGAAAGGAACGGTTACCGCGTGCTTTTGGGCATGAGTTAGTACCAGAACATATCATTCAAGTGGGCAGAGCTACACAGGCTCGCACGAATCCGCGTCACTATGTTACCAAAGTAGCCCGGACGATGGTATCATCAAGTACCTCCATGGTATGGAATGTGATTCTGTCCAAAAACTTCAGCTGGTACTTGCACTGACCCATTACTTTCCGAAAATGATCAAAGAGGAGTCGTCTTCTGATTCTAACCAATGTATATGAGCCAGGAAGAAGCGGAACCACGGTTTCAAACTTGGTGGCCACAAAAATTAGATCCGGTCTAGGTCCAGCTGGATCCCATCTATTTCAAGGACCACTAGATGTCAAATAATCGAGTGACACCAATAAACGTATTATTTGCACGACTTGACACCTCGCATTGCTGAAGACAAAGGCGCCGACGACTTGACTGCATAGGTCCCACCGGCAGTCTCCCCGTCTGGTACCATTCTCATCACCTTTACTCCAATTTTTTGAGAAACAACCGTTTTGGATTCTCTGTATTTTCCTGCTATTAGAAAATTTAATTTGTGAGACTTTCTTTTTCAACACATCTCATTATTGAAGTCTAATTATACCGTATCCAGCACAAGGATCCTTTCACCAATTGCAAATTCTTTTTTTTTTCGAGCTAAAGCTTGTTCTTTATTGAATAAACTGCTGAACTCAGCCTAGTGATACATAATGAGCTGATCTCTACTTCGGAAGGTCTATCGGGACCTCCAGGCCACTTCTTTTCACATTTGCTCGTGGATGTAAGAAGAGCTCTTTATTAGGCAGACTGTCCGGCCTCAGTCTACCCATACCCCATGTAGTTCATAATTACCTATAACCAGAAATGCTATAGCGGGAACGAGTCGTGCACTACAGAATTTTATTTTTTGACTCTTCTACTAAAAACCATGCATTCAGCCTTTCAATCTTCATTATTATCAAGAATTTTAGAGAATATATGCGTGTAACATTGCTACTTCTATGGGTGACTATCGCTTACGCCCAGAAAAATGCTACGGACACTACAAGGAAAAAAGCAGCAGCAAACAATGATGTAGTCGTGAGCATAGTGAAAATTAGTCGAGGTAAAGTCAATTTATATTTCGTAATTTTTATATTTTAATTTAATTTAATTTTCCATATTTCATATTTTATTTTATCTTATTGGATTATATTAAGTAACAGCCTCTTGCTCGGTGGTTTGTACAAAACAATACAGTCAGGTCTGATTGCTAAAAACTTTTCAAAGGTCAGTAGATGGAGCATATCGGTTGTATCTTAGAACGGATTGTTGGACAAGCAGGTTCAGAAAGCAACTTGGCTTTGGAATCTTCAACTCCCATCCTACTAAAACGAGGCCGAGTCGCTAGGGCAACTACTAAGTACCCCATGGCCGTTGGGGGAGGTCGAGACAACTAACTAGGGAACTCCGTCTCTGTGACCAAATTGAGCATTATGCCCCACACACAGCTTTAAGCCCTATCAGAGCATAAGCATGGACTGATCAGCGTGACTTCCAATTATTTCGCTCCTTAGGACTTTCAAGTACGCATAACTGTCGCTTCAGGAATGATTGCCTTTCTCTCAGCCTTTCACTCTCACTGACGCCTCTTGGGAGGCTAAATGAAAAGGAACTTACAATGTAACTGCTTCAAAATTAATATAGTGCAGTTCAAGGTTAAAAGGTTTGTTTAGATTCGCCTCGTCCACTTGTTGCCTACAATCAAGGTTCGCTCGCACCACCTTTCCCAGCTATTGCAAAGATACGTTCCAAAACGAAGCCGACATCATCAGATCAAATCATCTCGGATGTGGTAAGTGGTGATTTGACAGTTGTACTTTCACGGTTTCCACTTAGTTGAACCATTTCAAGGGAAGTGAAGCAATAAGTGGACTAAACGAGGATCTTCACAAGCTGGTCAACTCATTGGAGCATGCTAAAAGCAGTAAAGGTAAGCAGAAAGAAATTGCTGGTCTTCATAGAGTAATATGTACCAAGCAGCGGATTCCCCATCTTGATAGACAGATATTTTATTAACTCTGAAGGGCTGATACCAATGCGAATGAGTGTGAATGCTATCCTTCAAAGGAATCAAACCTATTAGGTCCATTTCCTTGCCCTTGGATGTGGGAGAATTCGGAACTAGTTGAAACCTACCCAACGTCAGGGTGTGGCATAAAGATCATGGGCCTAGTTGAGAATTTTACAGCAAATAAGTACCATTGTATACGCTGTATCGGTATTGGTGCTTGGAAGTACCCAAAAGGAGCGGGTCGTGGAAGCGAAGAAACACAATTAATTCACCTCATAATGTTCAATCAGCCCTCTCTCACCAACAGAGTCAGACTAGGCTTAAGAGTGTAGGCTAATACACAACTATGGGTTCTTTGACTACCGAGGCAATCAGGCTCTGCAAAAAGGGGGAGAAATGGTTTCCAGAGTAAGTTCGACAGGCCTACTTATCGAGAGAGTAGTCAGAAAAATGGTGGGAAGCTGGAAAAACGGAATCTTGTAATTGACATAGTTTAGTGCTAGAGAGCTGTAGAAAAAAAAGCAGGAATCTTACACTTCTGACCTTATCTTCCCTCAAAATGTTTTCCACTTCATTCACATTATTTTTCAAATCTTCAGGAGTTTTTTTGCTTGCAGGAGCATTCTTCAGAAAGGCTACTCGAACCGGTAGTTCATACAGTACTAACCCATTTCAAGTAGAATACACAGGAGAACCTTACCTCAGGTGAGTCAATTCAATCCTTCTGATACCCAGGATTTAATCGCAAAAATGTCGACAATTCTGTTTATTTACAAGTTGCCTATGGCTTACTCGGTATCAAAACCAACGCATTTTCTCCATTTGGAACTTAAAAAATGCTGCTTATTCTTATCACGGCTGAAGTAGGTGTATGAGAATTCCCAGCAGCGAAAAGCTCCTTCGACCCGTTTGAGCAAACAACTTTCTTCATTGTTTTTGCCTTTAAATAAAAATCATACCAATCATGAAAACAATCATAATACTTTATAAAAACATATTTCAGCGGCTACAGAGGGATACCAGAAGGTCAGGAAGCATCCTCAGGTGGGCCGAACTATATGGGAGCACTGACAAAATCAAATAAAGCTGGAAAACATACGTTCGGGAGCTATGGTAATACTATTTCTACTATCGTTCGCTTACATTATATTCCAACTAATTTATTCTCCTACTTCACCTTCAGCGCCTACTTTTTCTCGGGTGATTTATTGCTTTCTGTAGGCTTTGCTGAGTAGATGCGAATGTGCTTGAAAGCGTTGCTCGAATGTGCTTGAAAGCGAGAAAACAAGAAATCGGGTCTATATCGATAGTTTGATCCTACATACAATCCCTACATACTGATACCGTACTTCCGAACGTTGGATCCTTGGCTAACAGTGGAAGTAGGAACAGATCTTCTGCGGGATCGTAGTACTACAAAGCTGTGAACGTAATGTAGCGAAATCGAGTGCTTACTGTAACCTCAACCCAAATTCCAATCGTATATGTGGGTTATATGGATCAGGTGAGTCGAAATAAGCAGTCACCAGAGGTTGGCATGTTGGAAAAGCAAATGAACGGAAGTAAAAACAACCATCGACTATCCTGTGAAATCGATAAAGTAAGGAAAATGATGCAAACGTGAACGTTCAGGGAGCATTGACAGTGAGAAGGCGCAAATGTGGCAGTCGAGATCAATGGGCTCCAATGTCGCTGGATACGATAGATCAGGTTGGAACCTACTGCTCTATAATCTTTCTGAGAGTTTTTAATGGAAATTGGCAGTTTTGATACATTGGCCATAGTCATCGAATGTCACGATGCTGTCCCGTGTGCCTTAGGTCAGGAGTTAGCATGATGCCGTTGTAAGTGGCGCCCATCACCCGAAATTTCCAGGAAGTCATACCCCGATAGTGTTGTTTGTGAGAGATGAGAGTATTGCTATGTCTCTACTCTTACACCATAACCAATTTACTCTCGATGATATACGGTAAGCTGTCGGTCTCAAGAAGAATACGCTGTTTGAGCCTCCGTTTTCATTTTTTTTTCCACCACCAACACATGAAAAGGATCATTTTCTAGGTTCCTATGCCAACAATGTGGATTACAATGGTGGATATTCAATGCCTTCTACCGTATATATCAGCCCAGAATCAACTTACAGTACTCGATCGAATCCGTACAGTGCCAGTTACCAAGAAGGGTCTGACAACAACAATTACGGTAATGGCAATCGATACGGTAGCAGTGACTATTCAAATTATGGCAGTCAAATGAGTGGTGGCATTAACACGCAATCGAACAGCCAAGGGTACGATTATCAGCGCTACAGTAGCCTTCCTACGCAGGGTTACGATAACACTGTCTGGCTACCGTATGGCACAACTCGGCAATCGTCATGGCCACAACAGAGTTACCAGAACGTTGATGATGGATATAGTCAGAATTCAGGTTACGGTAACATGGAAGTGGAAAAAATGCCTGATTCTGGCTACATGGATTACCAGTACCCGAGCTCATCTTACAGTACACCTACCGTTAGCCCTGGATACACTGGCGATTTATACAACTCGGGTAATGGTGCAAGTTATGGTCAAGTTAATCAACAAAATTACAATTATGGTAGCTACATGAGTTCAGGGACCACCAATTCAGGATCCAGTAGCCAATTCCCGTCATTTATAGAAACGACCTATGGAATGCCCTCAACAGGTGGCTCAACTTATGATAACGGTAATGATTATGTCCAACAGGGGAATTACGGTAATGATTATGTCCAGCAGGGCAACTACGGTAATAGCAATGCCTGGAACCAATACAGTACTTCGGATACAGGCAGCTATCAGAGCACCTACCAACCTTCTTGGAACTATGGGAGTCCGAATGTTCAAAGTTCGGGAGGAAATGGTGATTACGATTACTACAAACCCACTCAAGGTTACGGTACTGGGCAAAGCTACGGTAACGCCGGCTACCAAAGCGATACTTACAATCCAGGGCAAACAATGGGCGACTATGGTAATTCTTATTCTGGGAATTACGGGGGCGGCTACCAAAACAACGCTCAACAAGGCCAGTACATGAATTACGGTGGTGGACCTCAAGTGGAATTCACCATGAATGTGGGATACGGTAGTAGCAGGACTTCTGGTGTGACTACAAAGCCATCATTAACTAATAACATCGTATCAAGTGGCCTTGATGAAGATGGCTACAGAACTGTGGCCAAGTAATCAGTGATTCCTATTGTGCATAATAAATAGTAACTGTCGTAACTATGTAGCCGACTGTAGCTATTTGGATAGTCGTTTAGATAGTGTTACTGTAATAATACTATTGATCGATTACGAATCGCATAAATTAACAATGATAAATTAAATATGAATAAATGTTGATTGCTAAGCTGACAGAAAAGGAAAAAAGAAAACAAAACACAGTTAGACTGATATTAATGGAAAATATGCAATGTACTGTATCGTCAGGAGGGTGGGTGCCAAATAGGAAAATCGCAGAGTATGTACCACCCGATTACTGCGAGGAGCCTCACCGAACTGTTCAGAACCGCTGTTCCATGGAGCACTACCATACGATCCTTGCTAATAGAATTTGACTTATCAAAAACTATTTCTTCTATTGGCATTGCCGTAGAGATCTGGGAGTTTTAGATCATTGGTAATAGTCAAGACCAAAAAGGGAATATTTACAAGTGGTGAGATGGGACCAAGTCATTATGGGTCTCTACCAACAAAATTTTTATGTATGGTTCATGACGCGTTGTCTTTGAGAGTCTTATGGAAGTATACTGGCGAAAATTCGTTTCGCTACCTCACTCATGGTCTGGGACAGAATCGTGGATAGTCCTAGACGTCACACAACTGGGTCTCCCTGCACCAGACGTAATGGTTTTCCAGGAAGGAACAGTACATACTCTTAACGAATTGAAGCCTCAGTGAAATTTTATGAATATGTATTGAAAATCCATCTAAACATTACGGTATCCTGTGCTACCGAGGAGGATCGGAAACTCAGGCCGATATTCCTTACACAACAATCATGGTTCAAAACGATAGCCAATCAAGCACGTCTATCGCGACAGTTTTTCGAATAACATCACAGCCATCAATGAGAAATGTTTCACTATATGCAGTAGCGAGATGACGGACACGCCAAGAAAAAGGCCGAGTTGTCCACCAAGTTGTGAGATGAAGCCAGGATAGGAAAGCATGGCGATCTCCTCGTATTCCTCATACTAAAATTAAATTTTGACAAGCGATACTATGGTGGCTGTTGAAGATGTCAAGACGCACACTGAGGTCAGCATAGAACACTTCCAGCCGGAATGCGCCTCGCATCTTCTCCACAGATGACCAGTACTGGAAGTACCGATCCCATCGGTCACAATTCAGCTGGCACTAAAATATTCCATGACACTTCCAATAATCAGCTGGCTCCGAGTAGGTGGATATGAGGCTTTTCAAGGGAGGGCAGATAGGGGAGAAAGGGGAAGGGTACTCAGTAAAAGCTTAAAATCTTTGATCGGTGTCTGTGTTCTGCGCTTCAAGAATCATGCGGTACAGGATGCCAATTAAAGTTATCTCAGCTGTCGTACAAAGGGCATTACCCTTATTAGTTGACTTTTTCCAAGACCGCTGGTAGAAGTAAAATGGAATCTACATTGAATTCCAAGTTCTCTCATTTTGAAACTTCGGCATTTCTTCTGCCTTGAGGTTGTTAGGTGGAAATTTCTGTTGTTCTTGAAGTTGCTAATAAATTAATTTGAAATCAACAACTTCAAGAACAACAGAATCACCAGTCCACCTAAAAACCTCGAGGCAGAAGCAAAATTAACAACTTCAAGAAATCTACATTTATTATGTGATAACTATTGAATTCCGCTCCCAAAAGAAGGGCGCACTCCGGAGGTCGACATAGATTTCGGGCGGACTATGAAAGCGACCATTGGCTCCATCCACACATCAAAAGCATCGTTCCATACAGTCTTTTTCATGAATCTTTGATATTCTGATATTTCCCCTAATCTGTTATAGTTGCGGTGACCATGACCAACCTTATGATTATTGTGATAACCATTAATTATGGACGTAGTAATAACAATCATTATTGAGACCCTTCACCATTGAATTTCTTCAAACCTCCACTCACCCTGCTCCGAAGTGTGTTTGCAGTGATGATTTGGTGATAGTTTGCGACGACGACGTGCGGATCGCAGACCTCGTAACCATTGGCGGATCGCAAGTTGCGCATGGATGGAAGGGTGCAGTTGAATGGGTGCAACAGATTCTCCTCCAGCCAACGATTCACGTAACACGTGGCTCGACCTGTAACGCAATGGACTGACTACAGCATGATGGGAGAAAGCAAGGCAACCTATTTTGGTGGCCGTCATTATCAAAAGGCCATCTCACTGTAGTCAAAGTAATGAGTGACTGTAGTGTCTCAATTACGGTGAAAATTGCTACTGAAAAACTTGGCGATAAGGGTACAGCCGCATTGAAAAGAGAGAGTGACCAGCTTTTTGATTCAGACTTGAAAATGAACAGCTATTCGAACAACTCTAAAACATTTCCTCTGAAGCTTGAGAGAGTTACAGATGAGGAGTGCAGATGAGGAGCAGATGCGAAGTAAAGGGCCTTTGAAAGGACACAATATGTCACAGAAAGTGTCCAAATCTGGCACTATAACTGTGTACCGTATGAGATCTTTTTACATGATGACCCGAACGTTCAACTAGTTTCAAAGTGATGGATTAGAGGCTTTTCGAGGCTTGATAATTAGTAGCCAATGTCACCCTCTCCCACGACTTATGCTTGATTGCCCTATAGTTTTGATCCAAAAGGTCAGGGTACCGACAAATAGCTTACTGAGCTACATTTGAAATGGATTCGAAAGCTTAAAATATAACTGATTGCTTACCTTTGCGATTTGGATCAATAGAACAGACGTCCCTTCTAGGCATCATCTTCACCTTTCTCAGTTGTATACTCGCTAAGACGAACTCATCCTTAGTGACGTATATCCGTGGAAAGATAGCGATTTCAGGCCATTCATCGCCGAAGTAGATGACATACTGCTTCTGAATCAAAAATGGCTTTTGCTGAGTTCAGTTTTATGATTTCTTGATCCCTGCTCGTCCTACCGTGGTAGGTTTATAAAAGAGATTCATCCAGCAAAAACTCAGAAACTCGAGACTAGAAAACTAGGAACGGCATAAGAGGAAAGACTACAATAGGACTCTCTAGAATGAGAATTCGTAGGTCCCAGCTCTTCTCTTCTACCAGCCCATTCATAGAGCGTGAATGCGCATCTANAGCACCAACAATCATCCCCCAATCTCCCTTTCCTAGCGTGAATCCCTTGACACTATCCACCTGATACTTTAAGCGACCCTTATCGGGGAGCGCCGCAATTCCTCTGTAGTTTTAGTCGACCGATCTTGCAAAATTGTCACACTGGCCAACAAACATTTGATTGGCTCTACCATTCCGATTAAGAACGGGTGCATAGCGCGGCTCGAAAGCATGCATCAATCACTACCTCCTTTCCATTCTAAATTTTTCTTTCCAAGGCAGCCGCTCTTTGGGAATTGTCATAACCCTTGTTGCAACGAAGAAAAAATTCATGGGACGATACCGCAAAAGCATGAAAAATCTTTTGGTCGGAACTGCTAAAGGGTAGTTCGTGTAGACAAATAATGATAACCCGAGACTTCTCCTTTTTAGGTTTGACACCACACCATGGAGTCAGCCATATTTTGCGACCTCGTACGGCCCCTCATCATCAATGCTGACTGACCTGTTCTTTGCCATCGATCAGTAAACTGTTACAGTTCTTAAAATTCAAACGCAATGCGCTTGATTGGCCACCTGATTTCTGATAGTAGTTGTCGAGGCGCATACATCTGAAAAAAAATGTTTAACAAGTCCATTAGGAGTAATCACTTAAAGCAATGAGGTGCTGAAAAACAACTTAAGCGGTGTTTGCTGCACTCAGTAACAAGATACACTTTGATTTCTGAGGTTTTCAAGAAATATAAGTCAAAGGGCTTATTTCCACATTAGAATAACTCAATTAACCGATGAACAAGCATTCCCGAGAAAGTAAGCACATGACATGGTTGGAAAAATTATTAGGTTGATGCATAATTATTGCGGATTTTTTTCAGCAAATTTTACTTGAAGAAACGATGGAAATATCTAGCAAAGACATGTCCAATAATTGCTCCGGAACATATCCACCATCTACGTCAAGTACTGCTTCCCATTTCCTAGGCGGTCGCACTCCACAGGCGAAGAAGTTTCGATTTTTGGAGGCGATCCATCTCCATCTTGGCCATCAAGCCATCCACTTCGTCGAAAGTTGTGTTCGTTAACCAATTTTTCAAAAGGCGATAGACGTGACAATCCATAGGAGTATCACTCGGCGAATAGGGCGACCGCAGATGCAGCTTCCATTCGAGTGTGCCGCCTTCCAACATTTCTCGAAGTAATAGAGCATAATTTGGCATACATGTAGATGACTTTGCAGACATATTTTTGTCAAGCAAAGCGAGAGGATTATTTTTACAGAAATCCCGAATTCAAAAAATTAATTTTATTGAGAGAAAAAAGCTGTGAAATCTGTAGTAATTATGCATCAACCTAATAAATTTAATGGTGGAAAGGGCATACTCCGTTGCCAAGAGAGCCGATTTTGATATATGAACATTGATATAATCATGCCAGAATGCGAGAAGAATGCGAGAAACTGATTAGTTATTTGAAGGCAGTTGTGTACCAGAATAACTGACCTTACAGAAGCAGCCATCAAGTTGATGTGAGGTGACCCTGGCTAAGTGCGAAACTCAGAGGCCATTCTGCCCTCCCATACCCATAATCAGCAGTGGAAGGTATACAACGGGTAGGTCAAATAAACAAAGAATAAAAAATGCTTAATGAAAGTATGCTTCAAGAAGCGGTAATTAAATTAGTAGTAAGGTAATTAATTTATTATCATGAAAGGATCCTTGATATGCAGCTACCATTTACTCTGGGTTTGAGAAGCTACCGTGCTCTCCAATGTTAGCCAAACTGCTATGCAACCTGCTGACTCACTCTGTCTGCACGTTTCTAAAGTTCAACTCATTCTCAAGTGCTCAGCTTAACTTTCCTGTTTCTCCCATAACTTGACAGTTCCCGCATCAGAACTCCCGTCACAACCTTAACACCTCGTCGTGTAACCAGGTGAAAATGTTTGCTCCCCCCAGTACCGTAATCTTCATACCTCGTTGCTTCGATTTTCCCTTGGTGCTTCTACATCACCAGAAGGATCTTCAACTTTCATTCTAGATTTACTTTCCCTGTCCTTCATAATGGCATGCTTTCAAAGACTTTTTAGGAAGTTATTCCCTTCACATTCATTGTCACTAACTGCCTTTCTCCAAACTGCCTTTCTCCAAATCAGTAGGGTTCACAGAAATGAGGTAGTTCTTCCATTCGTCTTATCACTAGTGACTTTGAAAACATCTTTACCTTTTGAAAAAGGGCAAATTTGAAGATTCGGCTCACCTTCCACGAAGCATAACATAGTGCGGTTTGAAATGCTCGCAACAATCCATTGTTATGCAGTTGGAGAAGATCTGAATTGAGCAAGTTAGGTGATTATGTTTCATAGATTTCCACACGGATGTCTTGGATACTTACATCACCACATTGCAGTCCGTTTTCATCAAACACAAACTGAAACATCTCTGCCATCGATCGATTACCCATCCATTGGTCGAACAGTGGTTGAATCGTCGATATTTGGGCCGATGACCATGTGTCAACATTTGTATTCAGATAACCACAAGCAGCTATGAAGTAGAGAAGGATGTCCCTTCTCAAAACGGATGTCAAAGGACCAACTCTCTGTTGGATATCTGAAACCAAATTTCGACGAAGTGGAGGAAAGAATGAGAAAGATAAAATGATATACAGGGTGACCCACGTGAAGTGGGACTGGCAATAAAAAATCGACTTAAGGGTTTCTGGGTTGGAGGATGCGGTGATCCCTTGATCCGAGGAGAATGCAAAGTAAGTCAGCTGAGGCTTTCAGCAGGATTGGGCACCAGTCCACAGCGCAAAGAAAACCATGCAATGATGTGAGACCGCGAGCCCGGGCTTTTGGACGATGGAGGTTTGGCCTTCAAGCTCCCCGGTCTCAAGCTTCGGTATTTCGCTGTATGGTCGATTCTGGAGCAAAAAGCCTGCGCTTGCAAACGCAGGTCTTTGGGCTCTCTGATAAAAGCCCTCTTGTAAAAGCGTGGGATGAAATTTCGCCGGAAGTGATTGGGCGCATTCTTGAGAACGCTCGAAAGGGGTTGGATACTTGCATTAAGGCGAAGTGGTCATTCTGAATACGGAATGTGGTACGTTGTTTACAATTTTCTGATGATAGTACAGAACAAAGGACCAACTCTCTGTTGGATATCTGAAACCAAATTTTGACGTAGTGGAGGAACGAACGAGAAAGATAAAATGATATACAAAGCTGGCATCAAGAAGCATTGGTACAAGCATGCTCTACAGAGGTTTGGCTCTATCGAGTTTGAAATGCTTGGACGACGGTGGTTTCGTGGCTTAAAATGTTAATGTGCTCCGTTGCTATTCAAAATACTGAATACCCTGACTTGCTAGGACAGTCATTACAAATAGCCGCTCAGCGAAAAAGTTTCTATGAGTGAGCTTGGCAGACTCTGAGAACAAGTTGAGGAGCCTGGAGCTTGCATGAATACGCTTGGCGGATGCCCTTGAAGCCTTTCGAAGGAGCCATTATCACTACCAGCTCTAAACAACACTTACCGTTGAAAATAACTTCATAGTTAAGATGATCCGGATTCTTAGGGCATACATGAATGCTGGGTAGAAGCAGTGTATCATTCTGAAAATGCTGATATACAAATTTTACAATTCAATTTTTTTTATTGAGCTCAGTCCATTTTAAGGGTTTCTTCTGAGAGCTTCCACTTATCTAGTAATCTCCAATGTCATTTAGAAAATTAGAAAAAATCCTGTACGTTACAGATATGTATTGGTGAAACGAAATCTTCTACTCAAACAAACAACAACAAGCATTGCTAGTTTACTAGAGCACCGAACATTATTGAAGACTACACTACTGAGTGAAGGCGAATACGTGGCGCATTCTAGAGGGGATTCTGGATACCCAATCTACACAGAGCAGTCACCTCCTACCAGCACTAAAACGTGCACCCCATGTACATGCATCATTTTTTGAATGGAACTCAAGAGCATGACGCAATCTGGAACTAGGCGCCTTCGAACTTTCGCGAATCTGCCTGTAGAGCTTCACTGGGTTCAACACCATCTTCAGCTCCTGAAGAATTCCACTCTGAACCGACTTACGGAGAAAAGAAAAGGACGC